GGCTCCACCTCCATTCCAATCTGTGAGTACAGTGTCTATGAGCGGGTGTGACACCGCAGATGTGAATAAGCTGTTCCTACCATTCCTCCTGTAGTGAGAGCATCTTGGCACGTAGGTGAGAGCCCTGCGGGGGAAGGTCCTCGTTTCCTCTGTGACACAGCCTCAGCAAAGTCCAGCCATTTCACCCATTGCCCAACCATGCTGACGATAATTAGCTCCAACAGAAGATCTGCTTGTCTACTTGTTCTAAACTTGCTGAGATATGGCATGGTGGCTTCCAAGGGTTTTGAAGAAAGTCTGTCCATCCTTGATTTTTACACCATGCTAGAAGTTAAGGGTACATACGGGGAAGCAGATGCAGTGTTTAAATTGTTACCGCACTGGCTCACGTCATCCAGAACAGGCTTGTCCTGGTTTCAGGGGCTTCACCTCTGGACTTTTTGCCTGGACTTTTCGGTAACTTCCTGGTAAGATTCTAGCAATGCTAATCCTCCTCTTCTTTCTGTCTTAGTATGATTTTCTTGGAATTTCCTTCCACATCATCGTGTCTCAATTTTGAAGATCAAACTTTTGCTCCTGAGATCAAGAATACCATAATGTCTATAGTATAAAAGTGAAACATAATGAAAGTTTTATTTACATATAATATTTCAAGCTTGTTGAAAATCTACTTGTGGCTGGGTGTGGTGGCTCACACCTGTCATCCTAGCACTCTGGGAGGCTGAGGCGGGTGGATTTCTTGAGCTCAGAAGTTGGAGACCAGTCTGAGTAAGAATGAGACCCTGTGTCTGCTAAAAATAGTAAAACTGAGGCAAGAGGATCTCTTGAGCCCAGGAGTTCAGGGTTGCTGTGAGCTATGATGATGTCATGGCAGTCACTTTACCTGGTGTGACAGAGTAAGGCTCTGTCTCAAAAAAAAAAGCAAAAAAAAAGGAAAATCTACCTATATTAAGTTTTTTACTGTTATAATCCCACTGATTCCCTTAGTAACCCTCTGAAGTGTAGATGTGATGATCCCAGGTTATGAGGCAACTGGGCTCAAGAAGTGTGAGTGACTTGGTTAAGGAAGTCCATAGAGGACTGTTGGAGCCCAGAGATATTTTCAAAACCTATGATTTTTCTTTTTAACTTGTGACTCCTTAAAAATAAAAGTAAAATACAGCTCCTGCCCTCAGGGAATTTGGGGGCCCATTGGAGGATAAGAAAATTGTGCAAATACTGTAATTCAAGTCAAAACATAAATATTGCTTTGAATAGATTTAATATTATCCAGGTTGAAAGGCAGATTATATGTCTCAGTGAGGAGGACCAAGCAAAGTTTCTTTTCTGTATAGGTTTGTAGAAAGCTGAAGCTTCAAGGCAGCAGCACTTGGGCTGATTGTAACGCCATGCAGGTTATTTTCTAAGTAAAAGGATTTTCTAACTTAAAGAGGCCCAGTAAGGTGAAGGAATCTCCCATGAAATCATTCACACTGTTATAGCTGTGTGGTATCTGGTGAAAAGGTGGCCTGGAGCATAGATCATTGAATTCTGCAAACTGCAATTGCAATCAGCCAGTCTTATTTGTCCAGTGAACGTGAGTGAGATGTAAGTAACATCTTGAATTAATTTACATGCAGTTGTATTGACCAAATTATTTAAAAACAAAACAATTACTCTAGAAAATAAGGAGAATAAGTGACCTAAATTCGGAAGAAATTCTTTGGTGAGCAGAGACGTGAGCTGACCTAGAAATAAGAAGGACTGTCCAGTCAGTGTTTTCAACTTTACTTTGTATGTTAACCATGCATGGCTCGTTGGTAGAGATCATTTTATTCTTTAAAAAATATTGATACAGAGTAAAGTAAATGTGGACATTGGGAAGTCTCTTGAGATCTGAGGTATGTCAAATATTTAGACTGGTTAGCTCGCTTGTATTGGTTGGGTAGTTCTAATTTTGTCAGAATAATTTCTATATCAATAATAATTTGATATGTAATTGGTCAACAAGAACTATGATTTGGGGGAAAATTAGATTTAGATGAATCTCCCTGGTATCTTAACTTATTGACATGCTTTTAACAAACTGTTTTCATCTCTCTGCCCACATTGCCCCGAAGCTTTTCTGATCTGTCACTGTTGTGCCTGCTCCAGTAATGTGTTGACCTAGAGTTTATCTGTCTCCCAGTTGAGTAGCTCCAAGGGGCAGGAGAATTGCTTGGGATTGGGGTGGGGGGTTTTTGTTGTAAGTGCAGGTTCCTAGACTACCCTCAGACGGATTTAACTGGTCTAGGATGGGAACGTTATAACCTGAATTTTAAATAGACAGTTGCCCCCAGGCCCCCACTTTAGTTCTGATACCCGCTGAGAAATTGTGCCCCAGGCTCTTCTGTCTGTACAGTGTAGCCTCCTGAACACTTTGTCCCATTTCTGACCTACTTAGTAAAACCAGTCAGGGAGCCTGCATGGAGCTTATTACTTTTGTTCTGTTTGTAATTTAACAAAAAACATGTCTCACTTTTTCCCAAAATATAATATGCATATCTTCAGTGGAGCAAGAAGCTACAAAACTGGCCCCCACCAATGCAGGATGAAGACTTTGATATTTCTAACCATCTTGGAAATTCTGCATGTCAAAGGATTCTTTAACAGTAGGTTACATAGTTGAAGAAAGATAACAGCATCTCCCATTCAACAGTGTCATGTCAGTGTGGTAATTGTCCCCTCCAGTGGAGAGCTTTCTTTGGTCTGCAGACATTGTGAGGCAGCCAAGGGCCAGAGGACCTGTGCACATTTCTGGTATTGGGTGGAGCCTTAGAACAGTGGGTTTTCTTTCTTTTTTTGCCATTTTTGGCTGGGGCTGGGTTTGAACCCGCCATCTCCAGCATATGGGGCCCGTGCCCTACTCCTTTGAGCCACAGGCACCACCCAACAGTGGGTTTTCTTTGCCCAGAAGTCTTGCTCTTCATAAATGTAGATACTGTTGTGATAAGTAAAATACTAATGTATTTTTAAATACTTTATAAAAATTCTTGTGGCAGCTCAATGCCCGTAGCACAGTGGTTACAGCGCCAGCCACATACACCGAGGGTGGCGGGTTCGAACCCGGCCCAGACCAGCTAAACAACTGCAACAAAAAACGAAACAAAACAAAACAATCTTGTGGCTTTCTTGTTAAGATATGTTTTTAATCAGCAGATACTGAAAATACTATGGTTGCCATGTAAACATTCTTCATAGGTAAAGAATCAGTTACACAGGAGACCAACTACGGGGTGTCCCCAGAGTCACCATACATGGGGAAAGCGTAGCTAAATGTAGCTTCATTTACAAAATGTTCATTAAAAACGTTACCAAATATTCTCTACATGGTGGCCACCTGTGTGTAAATCATTCATTCATGCAGCAAATGCCTTCATTGTCCCAGGCACTGTGCTCTAAAATGGAGACTGAGTGGAAACACTCTTTCACAAGATTTGGGATGTATTTTCATTAAAGATCCATATGGACTAAAACTCTTCTATCTGATGTTAGGGCTGAGAGTTATTAATGCTTATGACTGTGCCCAGCTGATTAGGAAGAATATGCAATCAGTCCTCAAATAAAAAGCCACAAAGCGGAACATATATTCGTATTTCTCTTCCCTTAGTTTTCAGTGCTTGCAACTACACTCCAGCTGTATTTTGCTCTTCTTGTGTGTTTATGTGACAGGCTATATAAAAGCACAGCAGTGATTTATTTAATTCTGATTTACTTAAATTTGAAATTAGGAGTTCTCTTTCCTTTCTCCTCCTCTGTCTATGCCCCTCACTCAGCCCCTACCTAATCAGACAGGATTAGCTGTCACAGAGCACGCCATGCTGCTATTTTCTTACACAGGGTGATATAATAGTGCCTACACTTAGGGGAATAATAAAAGTAAAGAGGTGAATGTTAATTAAGACACATGCTGTCAGGCTCCAAATCTGTGGAGCTGAATGGATCCTCGTATTATTTCTGATTTCCTTTAGTTTCTCTGGGTATCAGATGATTTGTAAAACAAAACGCCATATTTCTTGTTATGGTTTCTAGTGAAAGAAAAGCTTTAAGGAGACGTCTCTGTGGGAGAAACTCTCCCACCACAGATCTTGACTGCTGTGCTTGAGCTTATTGGGGACATGCCCATCTGTGTGCCTATAGGAAATAGAGAAGGGAGTTTGAGCAGGGTCAAGATTTATGGGGAGGCAGTAACGAGCCTCTACTGAATGCTAATTACTGGAGAGTTGTTCAGGGAGACTGCACGGGACGGTTGGTTTGTGGTAAATCAGCCCCTAGCTCTATTGAGATGGACTGAACGTTTAGATCAGAGCTAGAAGGGCGCCAAAATCATGATTGATGGGCAAATTTGGCGACAATTTAGGAAAATTCTCCAATTGTATTAAACAGTAGTAGGTGACTTTGCATGAAAATTTGAGATAGGTACAATGCTACATAAAAGTTAAAGCTTCCAACCCCTTTAGGATTGAAACGACAGTGAGCCTGGTTAAATGAATGATCAGAGCTGTTTGGGCACTTAGATCCAAAAATCTGCCCAGGCTGCCAGTAGTATCAAAGAAGAAATTGCTCGGGAAAGAGCCCGACCCCGAGTCTGAGGCTTTCATTTGCCCGTGGATCAAGCTTTCTGGCTGTCCACACACATAAACCTCAACCTTTATCTAACGCTGCACAGGGTGGCTTTTCTGAGAAAGGATACTCTGGCTCCAGAGCAAAACAAGTGCTGCTTTGGGAGGCTTTTCTTGAGTCCCAGGCAGTTCTCATTCAGTTCCCAGTTGCCTTCCTCCTTCATTTCCATTTCCAGTAACACAGAAAGGAGAGTTAATGATTCATTTGCTCCCAGCGCCCTTTTGAATAAGTGGACTGCGCTGTTCAGCGAGACTCTCGGCTCCCCCCTCTCTCTTTTACTTCCCCGGTTTGGCTTTAATATTTACAGCCTCCTGGTCGGTCTACATGCCTGAACGCCTAAAGGAAGCAAAACATTTACTGCCTCTCCCTCCCCGGTGTTCAGAGCTGTTTCATCCAGCCTCATTCCTCCTTTTGACATCACACGGGGAGAGTTGCCTCCTGGCTGAGGACGCCCCAGAGTGCTTCCTGAGTCTCTGCTGTTTAATCAGTTGATTTCGCCAAAACAAAAAGATGGATTCTGACTCAGACTCACCTTTTAATTACTCCTGGCCTTCCTTTCCCAAAATGAAGATTCGGAGAAGGACATCTAGACAAGGTAGATGGCGGTATCTTTTCTTTCCCCTAGAGCCAAACTAGGTGTTTTCAGATTTTTACTTTGCTTTTTTTCCTCCTGTTGTTGCCAGACTGTTTTCTGATGAAGTGCATGTTTATACCCGTCTTTATGAAGTATATAGATACTTTAGGCATAGATTTCAGAAGTAAACCTACTCGTTCTCCTTATGTTTCTTTCACTTTGAATCTACCTTTGTGTTACTGAGTACTGAACGCAGTGCTCTTTTTTTTTTTTTTAAAGGAGTTGAGTACAAGGTATATGTTTTGGATTCACTTAATCAGAGTTACCTTGGAGTTACCTTGACAATAAAGAGTTCTGTTGATTTAAACACATCCAGTCGTTGTGGGATTTGCAGAGAACTACGTGTGTGGTTAACTCCCAGTTTCTGCTTCTGTTTTAGTTTTAAGTGTGTCTTAAATTAAAAAAAAATCTGCACCTAAGACAATTGCTATTTCGATTTTATACTATTTTCTTGATTTATGGCTATTGTAAGAAAAGGATTTAAGAAAAAATAACTTCAACATGAAAGCCAGTATTTTTTAGGGAATACAGTTATATTAATAAAGTTTACTAAAAAAAGAAATTATTAAGTATCCAAAAATCATTTATTGCCAAAGGAAGAAGAGCTATTTATCTGCAGCATGCTGAGTAGTGGGGTGAGTTTACATTGCTAATTCCCCCTCACTTGCCACCTACCGCTGTTGTGGCGTGGGCCATGGAAACCAAGGGGCCAGCAGATGTGGGGACACGGTAGAGGTGTCCTGAGTTCCTGTTGTACCATCTTTGGCTGGACTTAGCAAGTGGTGATTGTTGACTTCTGAGGTTTAAAACAAACAAGAAAAGTAGTGAGTAACCTTTCCTATGGCTTGTCTCATAGGAATTTATCTGGTTATGCTTTTAATTCAAGGAGAAAAGGAATATTTTCATGAGCTTACAAGCAGAGAAGTTGTCTCTGAAAGCATGTTATCTCCGTAGCATTGTCCTTCTGGAGCTCACCTGTTCTATAGAGGGACTTACCCTGTCACCCTGTGCTTTTTGTAGGGAGGGATGGACTCTGGTAGTCATCAACATTATCTGGTTAGCTTTGAGGATCTTTCTTCCTCCTCAATGAAATAGAAGTATGTGCTTGCTTGTTTGCTGTTTGGCTGGGATCAAGGCCAACCCTAGGAATGAGAGGAGTTGACCATGTAGGGCTAGTAGAAAGTCTCACCCAGAACAAATTTCTCTGGTTGTTCAGCTACCATCCTTCAAATTCAGCCCCTGGGGACTTCAATCGTTTGCATTCAGCATGCTATTCATCTGTTGTTCTGTTTTAGAAATTATTTTTTTTTTTATTTTGTGCCCACGAAAATTGTTTTTTCTATTTTATCAATCTTACAACGTCGGGGATTTGAAAAGTTTCGACATGAAAGCCTGTATGTCTCCGGGAGAGATAGTCATGGGCTATGGGGTGATGATGTACGGGACTTACTACTAAATGGTTCTGGGGAAGAACATGCGTATGAGATAGCATCAGCATGTGCTTATGAAAGCAAACTCGTGCACAAATAGAAAGTAGAAGAAAATGTTAAAAATATGTAAATCTGAGGAAAGGGGATGTATCCGTGTTCTCTGGGCTATTCTTACTCTTTCAGCTTTTCTGTGACTTTGAAATTATCCCCCAGTTGTAAATTAAAAGAAAAAAATTTAATCACTTCTAATTCACTGATACTTTAGTGAGTAGTATTAGTTCTGGTACACTGAGAGCTTCTTGCTTTTTTTTTTTTTTTGAGACAGAGTCTGACTATGTCCCCCTTACTAGAGTGCAGTGGCATCACAGCTCACAGCAACCTCAAACTCTGGGCTTAAGCGATTCTCTTGCCTCTGCATCCCAAGTACTCGTGACTACTGGCGCCCGCCACAACACTCGGCTGTTTTGTTATTGTAGTTGTCATTGTTGTTTGGCAGGCCCGGGCTGGATTTGAACCAGTCAGCTCCGGTGTCTGTGGCAGGCACCCTAGCCACTGAGCTAAGGCGCCGAGCCCACTGAGAGCTTCTTGAAGGCAAGTGTCACTCTGTAAGGGTACCACATCTCTGTGCTAATTCTAACCTACTTAAATTTGGGGGAATAATCTGCTTTATTTATTTTATGTTTATGTTGTCCACCTGACTGACTTCGTGCCTGCATTGTAAGGGGCCCAGGCAGCTTAACAACCTGGAGAGATTCATGGATTCATGATCAGTGAAGAACCTTGGGAGTGCACTGCAGTTGTAGGGAAGGCATTAATCACACTCTCTTTTTAAATCCAAAGTTGGAGCATGGCCAGTATGAGCTACAACAGAAAGTCATAACATAGCTATGTATAAATTAAACCTGATTCAAGTGAAAGCAGGTACCTGGGATATGAAAATGATTAACTATTTGATGCTAATAAACAAAAGACTAGTGAAAATAAGGTTGGTAGCGGAGAGCTGGGAATCATTAGACTTTCTTTCTATATTAAATCAGGGTGATGTTATTTGTGATGAGCAGGTTTGGTCATGCTGTCATGTTAGCTGGATGGGATCTCAGAACCATAGACCCTTAGAGCCAAAAGGGCCATCAGAATAACATGGCCCAGTCACCTCATTTTACAGGTGAGGATGATGGAGCTCACCTGTGATGCAGAATTATTTACATGTTTAACAAGCCTTTTCAGGGTACTAGGCACTGTCCTAGAGGGTGGATGAAGGGCTGACAGAAGCTGTCCCTGCTTACGGGGATCTTAGCACTGGGACAGATCTCCCAGCACCCATTGATGACACTTCCATATAGTGGAAGACATACCCAGTAACCTGAGTTTTCAGCCTGATGGCCAATTTGTGAAGAATTACGGTCTTTTGTTTCTTAGAGGATGATATAAATATTTTAGTCAGTCTTCTAAACTAAGGTGGCTCGAGTTCTTCCTCACTCTCTCCTTCATTGTAATCGTCAGCAACATCTTTCTCAGATAGAGGCCCAAGTCACCTGGGAAATCGTGAGGGAAGTTTGGAGGGCTTGGAATTTCTGGCTTATTGGCGAAACTCTCTGTATTTGACGAGAACTATTCTCTTTTATTCTCTCCTATTTTTCACCTGTCCTGCCCCCACCAAGTATTCCCTTTGTTGTAATATTCCTTACTGTTTTTGTTTTCACTATTCTTTGATGAACACCCAGACATAAACACATTACTGGCTTGTTTAGGGAGGGATGTGAAAATTTAAAGGATTTAATAAAACATCTAAGAGGAAACCTGTGATAGCAGGAACCCACCAATACCATATTTCCACTAAAAGGAGATCTAGCACTTTCTTATTTTCATGCCTTCAGAAGGAAGAGAAAAGCATGAAACTTAAAGCAGTGAGTTTGCAAATGGTCAGTTTCTAGAGGGGAGCGTGATGAAAGCAGCTAAAACCACGCTGCCCAAAACGTACTCCTGGGTTCTGGAAAGTTGGCTTGGTCATTTCATTGGCAGCTCCAGGACAGGCTCTCCTGGGAGTCCAGTGGTTAATGATTGGAGTGGACCAGAATCAACTCCATTCTGCTTCAAGGGCTCTAGGAATGCCTGGAGTTTTGTTTTGTTGTTTTCAGTAGGAGATTCAACTAAAAAATTAATGTTAATTAATCAAAGATTTAAAAAATATAGGGACTGGCCTTTACCTAAGGTTCTCATAAGTTATCATTCAATCTTAAAAAATGCATACTTTAGTACAAAATCATCAGGCCCCAGGAAATGTTAAAATGTTCTTTTCTTTCTGCTTTTACCCACTTATGCAATGTCACTCACTCTCTTCTACCCTGGCTCATGTCATACGCCTCTCTAATGACATACCGAGTGAAGAACTACTCCCCCCTCCACACTTTGTTCTTTTTGCTTGTCCAAAACCGGTCTACAGTTACCAAGGAAGGCAATGCATATCTGAAAACTTGACAACTTTGGAGAGCTTAGCAACAAATGTTCTGTTGTCATAGTCAAAATAACAAATAACAAATATATATACCTTGTATGTTGTACTTTATTAACTACCGTTTCCTAAGCTATAGTAGGTGCTATACATGATACCTGATTCTCAAAATAACTCTGTGATCAGATATTACTTTGGCTTTATAGGTGAAGAGAGAGAGGCTTAGAGAGTTTTAAGTTTATTCCCAAGGCCATACCAGGAAATGCAGAGAATGGCAACCTTGGTAGAATAAGGAAGGAGAATGGTATCTGAACAAAGTGTTTTTCACATGTGTTGTCTTGTAAAAGACCTGTAGTAGATGTGATTGTGATCTTTGAGGTTCAGTGAAGCCAAATGGGCTGCCCAAGATCAAAGTCAATATCTGTCAGAGCCAGGCCAAGAACCAAGACACTGGACTTGAGAGGTTTTGCTCTTCCTGCTATGTTTTACCTCCTCTTAGTAAAGGTAAGGGATGGTGAACATCATGGTAGCTACCTTGGCTTCAAAAGATGTCATTGTGTCTCGCCATCTTAGCTTCTCTCTCTCTTTTCTGAATCTCTACTAGGAAGAGAAGTGACAGGGGAGACTCTGGAGGAGCAAGATGGGAGGGCTGTTTTTATGTCTTGATACCTTTCTCCTATGCACAGATGGAGAACTTACACACGTCATTGCGCTAGGCTTGGGAACGGATGCACAGATGCCTGAAGCACGGTTAGTTGGCTTAGGAGAGGAAGAGGCAGGACAAACAGAGAAAAGGATGGAGTCAGACAGCTTTCAGTGTGCCCTGAAAAGTTCACAGGTTTGTTCCAGACAGAGAAGATATAGCCTTTTTCATGAGCTCATTTCATGTTTGGAGGTCAGGTTCCTAATCTGAAAAATAATCCTTGACACAGTAAGTATTGAGAGGTATGATGCCATTTCAGAAGTTTTAATGATAATTTTTAAAGGTGAGTTGCTTTGATCTCATGGGCTTCCTTGTTCTTTGCCTCTTTGCCTTCCTCCCTTTCATGAAGTTTCATTGAATATACACGTGCACAGGG